ATTACAGATTTTGACTGTCATCACACAAAAGGAACGAGGACAGTTGAGAGAAACTGTGAAGTAAGCTACATTACACATAGTGGCACTGGCAAATATCTCTGCAGCTTGACAAAGCCCACAGGCTTCATGAAATTTGCCAAGTGCCTCTGGGTAAATGCATGCCAGGAACAAGTGTCTTTCTCTGTGTGTCAGTGCCTGTTTGTCAGCAAGACAAGGGCTGTGAAAATAAGGTGAGGAGGAGGGTAGGGGAAATGTTATATTTTGCTGTGGGTGAAAATGCTCGACCTCATTGCTCCATTGTAGAGGGAGGGCCCATTACTCTGGAACAGGGGTTGGCAAGAAAATGCAGATCTGCAATAAAGTATATACCTAGCACAGTTGGCTGGCCAAATGTGGATAGCAGGGGCCTTTTTCCTTAAGTGTAGAAATGAGAACAATGGTGCATTTATGCAATTTTAGATTCAGAACTTAAATGGTTTTACTGATGATAAAGTGTGACATTTAGGTCTTTAGATAAGTGTATATTATTTCCCACATGTCAAAATTTGCTAAGCAAGGCCTGCTGCCTTTCTGTTCATTCTGCTGCACACAGCCTTGGACCCCTGCCCACCAGTCTTGTTCTGATGGTAGCAATGACTAGCAATTTCAGCAGGAGCAGTTTATTATTATCATACCAAGAAAAGCCAAGCCCCAATAGCTGAAATTCTGAAACCTGCACTTCTACCAGTGTATCTCTATCCTCCATCTTTGGACCCTAATCAAACCTCAAAACAGGTAGTGTCTTACTAATAAGACCCCCTACACACATATATGTAGTATCTTCTCTTACCAGTGCTGCTCTAAGTGAAGATGGATGTAAGAAGTCACTTTATTCAGCCTATATTATAACAGAAGTGTGAAACCAAACTGTATCAGGGCAGCTCCTAGGTTTTGCTGCATGAAAGTGGGTTCAAGGTTCTTCTTTCAGGAATTATAACATGCTTTGGAAATGTAAGTCAAGTATGGGCTGTGTTTGATGTTCCCTTTCCACATGAAAGGATATGTCCACACTGCAGTTCCTGAAGCCTACCTTTCATAAAGCCTCAGTCTATCATGGGATTTCCTTACCAAGTCTGGCCAAAGACATTTTGCTGCCTGAAGCAAAGAAAAAGATAGTATTTCTCTTAAACCATGTACAAAAAAATTGGGCTGACTTTTGTTTTCTAGTACAAGTGGGAGAGCACCTTTCACCTCACCTGACAGCAAGAGTCTAGCTTAGGGCACAGGGCAAGACACAAGGCACACTGTCATCTGTTCCATTCATTGGAGAGTAAAGGTGTTGAAACTGGAAGTCAAATGTAAGTTTATTTTTTTTTAATCTACCTAATGCTGGATACTCTGGCCACTGACAGTTACATCCAATACTGGGTTTCCCCCTGGGAGGATAGGAGATAAGAACATGGATAAAAAAAAATTAATGTCGCAAGAAGGCCACAAATGTGGTAACTACTGGACAGAGCCTGGAAAAGTTACTTTTGGACTACAACTCCCAGCCTCAACCACCATGGCCAATGGCCATGGTGACTGGAGGATTCATGGAGACGTTGTCCAAAAGAGTATTTCTTCCAAGCTCTGCACTGGAGCATGTAAGAATATATCAAAGGAATACACCTTTCATGTGGGGAATATCATTTGGGCAGAGAAGATGACAGCCCTCCTAGAAAAGAGGCAGTAATGCTATCTGGGGGCTGGCAAAGCTGAGTCATGCGAGAGATGTGAAAGGAAAACCTGGAGAGTTGGGCTAAATGACAAGTCACGACAAGGCAGTAGGGAGATGTGGGTGGTGTGGGGGGTTAGAGATGCCAAGTGATTGATAGGTGTAAACCCAAAGAAAGAAAGAGAAGGCAAGGGGATGTAAAAAGGCAGAGGGTGTCAGCAATATACTACCATATATTTAATGAAGTTTCAGGGATCCTTTAACTCCTTGGTCCTGCTTACAATATTGTTCTCAGGATATCTGGAGTTACAGAGAGCAGGGGCAGTTGCTCTTACAAACCTTAGCAACTCCTTCTCACATATATGCTCATTCTTTGCAAATATTTATACGTTGCCTATAGCCAAAAGTTCCAAAGAGATATATGCCTCAGTAATATGTACAATATACACAGAAAACAACTCATACATTTTTTCTGAATTGCAAGAAACAGATACAACGTTGGATTGAACATGGAAAGTAAATAGGCGCAACCTTTGGGCTGATCTGGGGGTGTGGCATTCAGATCACACACAGAGAGAGATTGGGCTGAAGCCGCCCCACCTAAAGGTGCCCCAAACCCAGTGCAAAAAGGAGCACTCCCCCCCCTCAAAAAAAGCACTCCTTGCCAGTGATCCATTGTGGACTGCAACAGCAACCGGCCTCAGGATCACAGCATCTGATTGCTGTGGTCCCACACCAAATGGGGAACAATCAGAATAGGAGTGGCCTCTGGCCACTTCTTTTGCCCCATCTGTTTGAGGCCACTGTCTTCTTTTGCAATATAGCCTACAGCATCTGGTTTTCCTTGGCAGTCTCCCATTCAAGTACTAGCAAGGCCTGACCTTCCTTACCTTCCAAGATCAGACAGGATCTAGTACCTTCAGAGTTTTTAGGTTAGCAGGTGGTAAATTCACCTTGATTCTAGTTCATTCATTTCTATTACTGAGGTTGGTCTAGGCAACAGATGAGAAATAATCAAGGTAGATGGCAAGGCCTTATTAAGAGGACACTGGATCACTCTTCTGATAGTTAAGAGGATAAACACAATCCACTACTATCAAAATCAGAATTTACATTTCAGAACAGATCTCTGGAGATGCTGTCAAATGCCTCACTGGAAAAGTTACTTTTAGTTCCAGTGCAATCAAAGACCCACCCATATGGTGGCTTAACTTCTAATAATGAAATATTCCTGAATGTAGTTCACTCAATGAGATTCCTTTATCTGAAGTTAAGCTGCCATAAGCTTTATCTTAATGCTCAGTGTGTAACAACACTGTGTTGAGCTATCTGTTTTATTTACCTGTCGTGCTGCTCCTTTGTCTTCATTTGAGACTCTATTTGATGCAACCTGTACTATTTATGGAAAGACATTTATAAATAAACACAGTTTTACCAGAAGAGAAAGATGGCCATGCTTGGTTTCTTTTGTCATTCATGCGCTAGTAGCAACTGATGTCTTCCACATCACTGTGGCGGGGAAGATCTGGTTATTCTGGAGTTTGGTGTGAGCTTTTAAGGAGCTGTCTGAAGTGCTGAATATAATTTAGGAATAAGATTCAATTCCTTGCTTTATTCTTTTAAAATTCTGCTTAAAATCCAGAGTAAATTCATGGAATGTTCTCTAAAATCTCAGGTATATGTGAGATCAAAACAAATCTTTCAAAACAGTAACCAAAACTGTATCTGAATGTGGGGTATCTTTTATTATCAGCAATACCATGGACATTATTTATTAGGTGGCACTCTCAATAGCAATGGAAGTGTCGCTTTTGGAGAGAACCTCATTTAATCAACAACACAAAACTACAACTGGAATTTTGGAAAAACAAGATTTGCCTAAATAGAGGAAGGAAAAATGTATACTCTCAGCAAAAGAAGTCCAAGTGTGCAATGAGTTCTCAAAGAAGAGGAAGGGGGAAGTGAAAGGAAGAAGGATGAAAGGAGGAGGGAGAGAGAGGGAAGGAGGGAGGAAGAGGAGGAGAAAATACCTGTACAAAACTACCTTTGGGTGATTCTGATAGTTACTGTATAGTTGTTTGCACAGTGCTATCAAAGTTTATAATCCACATCCTTCACTCTTTCTGTACAGACAGGGAATCAATGAAATTGTGTGTGTGTGTGTGTGTGTGTGTTTGTATGTATGTATACTGGGTAGAGCCAGAGCTGCCCCCATCATTAAGCAGTAAGGTTGCTGCCTCAGGCCAGCAGATTTTGGGATGTTATGAAAGCAAATTGTAGTTGTTTATTAATGTTGTTTTTCCTCCAGAAATGGTGGCTGTGAGATTTTCAGCTCATGAGCCAAAATAACTTGGATCTCTTTGTTTTCCATGCTTCTTGACTTAGGTGAGTGGTGGGCAGATGACATTTGGTGCTCTGCCTCAGGCAGCAAAAAGTCTTGAACTAGCCCTGGGCACTGCTACCAGATAAACCTTACTCTGGTTTAACCAATTGACATATCAGTCCTAAGGATCCTGAAGCCGGTCTGGCAGAGCAGATTGGGCAACCAGCACCAGATCATTCCAGAAAATTCAGAGACCTTGAGGACTGGCCATCATTTCAGCGCTCCCCCTCCCTGGCTTTATCCATGTTTCCTAGCCTTTGATCCTTCACACCTCACCTCCCAGAATCCTCTGACCATGGGCCATACTGGATGGGGCTAATGGAAATTGAAGCCCAAAATATGGTGGGGGTGGTTGGGAAGAGATCACAGAATCATAGAGTTGGAAGAGACCCAAGGGCCATCCAGTCCAACCCCCTGCCATGCAGGAACTCTCAATCAAAGTACCCCTGACAGATGGCCTGTTTAAAAATCTCCAGAGAAGGAGATTCCTGGTGTGTTCAGGCAGGTTCTTTGAGCCTGAATTCTCCGCCAGTTTAGGCTGCTACCATTACTGCAAAATTAATGCAGTTTGACACAGCTATGTCCCCATTCTATGGCATTCTGGGATTTGTAGTTTGTTGTGACATCAAAACTCTCTCACAGAGAAGGCTAAATGTCTCACAAATCTCAGAATTCCATAGCCCATCCCGGTTTGGCCATGGAAACCCACTGGGTGATCTTGGGCAAGTCACACTTTCTCAGCCTGGAGAGGATGGCAATGGCAAACCCCTTCTGAAGAAACTTGCCCAGAAAACCCCCATGATAGCTTCACCTTAGGGTCACATAAGTTGGAAAATGGGATCTACAAAACAACAAGAACCATGACAGGTAAAGCGCTGTCAAACTGCATTGATCCCGCAGCGTAGTTGCAGTCCAGCCAGAGCCAGTGTGGCGTAGTGGTTTGAGCATTGGACTATGACTCTGGAGACCAGGGTTCAAATCCTGGCTCGATCATTGGGTAACCTTGGGCAAGTCATACCCTCTGAGCCTCAGAATATGGCAATGACAAACCCTCTCTGAAGAAACCTGCCAAGAAAACCCCACAATAGTTTCACTTTTTGTTGTTGTTGCTGTTAACTGCCTTCGCATCGATCTTGACCCATGGGGACCCTATGGATGAGACATCTCCAGCCCCCCCCCCCCCCCCCCGGTCCTCTACTGCTCTGCCCAGCTCCTGCAAACTCATATTCGAGGTCTCTCTAATAAAGTCCATCCATTTAGCATCTGGCCTTCCTCTCTTTCTGCTTCCCTCCAACTTTCCTAACATTATTGTCTTTTCCAACGATTCATGATGTGTCCAAAAGTATGACAGTCTCAGTCTTGTAATCTTGGGTTCTAGGGATATCTCTGGCTTGATCTGCTCTAGGACCCATTTGCTTGTCCTTCTGGCTGTCCCAATACTATATACCTATAAAGCTCTATATAAAAGCTTGATCTGTTCTAGGACTGATTTGTTTGTCCTTTTGGCTGTCCATGGGATCCTCAGCACTCTCCTCCAGCACCGCATCATCTCAAAGGAGTTGACTTTCCTCCTATCTTCTTTCTTGACTGTCCAGCTCTCACATCCATCCCTACATGGTACCAGGGAATACGATGGCTTGTATGATCTTTTGTACAGAGTTTCACCTTAGGGTCGCCATAAGTCAGTCGGAAAGGACCTGAAGGCACACAACAAGAAGAGCAAGAGCAAGAGCAAGAGCAAGAGCAAGAGCAAGAGCAAGAGCAAGAGCATCCTCCCTCTAAGAAGCCAGGAGCGAGAAGAAGACCATGGTCTTGCCTGGCTCCCGATGGGTTAAGCGCCCGGTTTCCGAGGGCCTCGAAGGTGGCAGCACCGCACCCTCCTGGGCAGCATTTACACCACCCCTTCCCTCCTTCCCTCCTTCCCTCCTTCCCTGCCTGCCTCCTTCTCTCCATCTCTTCTCCTCTTTTGCCTTTCCAGCGGCAGGATCCAGGCGGCGGGCTCCCTGGCTGCTCCAGTGCCTCCTCTCTCCTTGCGCTGCTCTCCCACCGAGGTTCAGCCTCTTTCCTCCCCGAGAAATACCGAAAAGGACCCTCTTTTCCAGCAGCCCAAGGGCGTCCCTCCTTCCCTTCTCCTCCTGGGAGGAAGAAGTGGGTCTTTCCCGACTTTCCTGCCTCTCTTCTTCCAGGAGGGGGGGACATTGGTGGCCCCAGGGAGACGCTTCCCCTTCAGTCCTCCAACTGGCAGCTTGGTCGCTTTTTTGGGGAAATACTGAGCCTTAGAGAGAGACCTCTGGGGCCCCAACGAGAGCTATTATTATTATTATTATTATTATTATT